AGTTTGTTGAATTTTCCTAAGAATTATAAGGATTTTCTAGGATTTATTGGAATTTCTAAAGATTTATAACCTAGAAAAAGTTAATTATTTTTTATATGTAAATAACTGCTTTTTTCTAATTTTTTAGCTAATTTTACTAATTTTAACAAACTGTATACTAAAGTTTATTCTTTTTATACCTTTTATGATTTTTTAGTTTCAATGTTTCGCTTTTAGTATATTTTTACTCATTTTAATTAATTACTTGAACCGTTAAGTTAAATTAATCTACCGGGTGACTAAAAATGATTGTGACAAAAAAATCAATACTGAATTATGGTTAATTTTTTCAATTGTCTGTAAAAATTTAACATCTAATTTTGTAGTCATTAAAATTTTAAATTTGCCAACTACATGCCAAAAATCACAATCATTTACAGTCACCCTGTTGATTAAGAAACAAAATTAGAATATAAAAATTATTGTTTAAGGAAATTCAAATGTTTGTGTTTTACTTATAAACATTTTCAAGAAAATTAATAAAAAACTCGTAATTTGGAATAATAAAAAACAAAGTTTTACATTGATTTGTTTATAATTTTTAGTTGTTTTAAATCGTCTTGAATATAAAAACTGTTTATCTTGGATTACTTCTCGAAGACTTAGAATTTGTTAAATTTTCCTAGGAATTACAAGGATGAGGGTTTATTGGGATTTCTAAAAGATAAAAAAAAATATAAATTTTCAATCTCAGTGGCTTGTGATTTTGGAACTAAGTTGGCAACACTGTAGAATATAAAATTTAATGCTTTTTCTAACCGCCTATAAAAATGTGACGTTTGAATTTCATAGTCAAATTAAAATTTATGAAGTTGCCAACTTGACGTCAAAAATCACAATCATTTATAGTCACCCGGTATTAGGTTCCATTATTTTCCATAATCATAAATTACTTATTTTATTTGAATTTTTTAACATAATTATATTTAAACTCAACGATAAGTTTTACTTTATTGCAGAAATAAGTTTCACTGAATTGAAGTAAAATTTTATTTTCAGGCCTGGTGTTGCGCCTTGGTTATTTATTATGCAATTCACAGCTGAAACGGATTTAATAATCCAAATTCCAGCTTAAATTTATTGGTCAATTGCTAGCAACACGTGTGATTGATCACTTTTCAGTTTTTTTTTCAAGAAACGGTTTGTTCAAATTTCCAAGAAAATTAATAAAAAACTCTGTAGTTTAGAATTAAAAAAACCAAAGAGTTTCACACTGATTTGTTAATTAAAATCTCGTTAAGAAAAATATAACATTTATTAGAATAATTAAATTTCGAGAGTGGCATCTGACTTTGAAAATAAGTTGGCAACATTGTAGAATATAAAATTTGAGATGTTTCTAGTAACAATAAATTAATATTAATGATTCTTGTAATCGTCTATAAAAATGACGTTTAAATTTTATAGGCAAAGTTGCCAAATTGACATTTAAAGATGCCAACAGACGCCAAAAATCACAATCATTTACATTCACCCTGTTTATTAAACAACAAAATTAAAATATAGAAATTATTTTTTAAACAAAAACATTGTTTTATTTAAATTAAAACTTTATTTATTCTACATCGTCTGACTGAATTTAAGTAAAATTTTATTTTCAGGCCTGGTGTTGCGCCTTGGTTATTTATTATGCAATTCACAGCCGAAACGGATTTAATAATCCAAATTCCAGCTTAAATTTATTGGTCAATAGCTAGCAACACGTGTGATTGATCACTTTTCAGTTTTTTTTTCATGAAACGGTTTTTTCAAATTTCCAAGAAAATTAATAAAAAACTTTGAAGTTTAGAATTAAAAAAACCAAAGAGTTTCACACTGATTTGTTAATTAAAATCTCGTTAAGAAAAATATAACATTTATTAGAATTAATAATGAATATCTCTAATTAAATTTCGAGAGTGGCATCTGACTTTGAAAATAAGTTGGCAACATTGTAGTAACAATAAATTGTTATTAATGATTTTTGTAATCGTCTATAAAAATGACGTTTAAATGTTATAGGCAAAGTTCCCAAATTGACATTTAGAGATGCAAAAATCAAAATCATTTACATTCACCCTGTTTATTAAACAACAAAATTAAAATATAGAAATTATTTTTAAAAAACTAGTTTGTTTATAAACATTTTGAAAGGAAACAAAAACATTGTTTTATTTATAAATTAAAACTATTTATTTTAAATCGTCTGACTGAGTTTAAGTAAAATTTTATTTTCGGGCCTGGTGTTGCGCCTTGGTTATTTATTATGCAATTCACAGCTGAAACGCATTTAATAATCCAAATTTCAGCTCAATTTATTGGTCAATTGCTAGCAACACGTGTGATTGATCACTTTTCAGTTTTTTTTCATGAAACGGTTCAAGTTTGCGAGCTTGTTGTTCATTACTGAAAATTAATGAAGCGTTGTTTGTCTTTTCAGCACTTGACACTGATCGAGTGTAGGGGAGAGTGGGAGAATGAAAGTCGTGGTTTAGGCCAATTGATATATTTAGTATTGACAGAATCATTTGAATGTTGTACCCTTTCACATAGAAACATATTTATATAGGATTCAAATCACTAACAACAATGTTAGATGGCGCTTGAATCTGCGGCTGTATCACTAGCGCCACAGATGTCGCCTTAATGACATTACATCTATACATACATACATAATTACAATATAGTGTCATATTATAGAAATTACCTAAGATAATCTAGTCAGTCATGCATTCCCATTAAGGGTGTGGCTGGAAAAACCTTTAATGGGAGAGCAGCTGATTGAAAATTCGGCATAAACTACGAATTCGAACCAAATCACCGCCAGATGTCGCTCGCCGCACTTCGAAATTTGCGCCGAATTTGAATTTTCGCACACAGAAATTCCTTCATCGTTGTCAAAAGATCTCGATGACAACATCAGTGAAACCCAAATGGAAAAAGCGTATCAAAAATAAATTGTAATTTGTGTTTTTTTTATTGTTTTAATTATTATCGACTTTACAAAGCAATGTTTGGGTTCGACGAAACAAAACCAAAGGAACTTAAACCATGCATTAATCGTATCCGTAAAACGCGCCAATTGTCGATTTTTTGAGGAGAAAAAGTCTCAAAGGGGGCCGCCGGGCCTCTGCAATCAATACAAAAATCAGTTCTTTTCTTAAGGAAAATAATTCGCCGGCGGGCGCCCTTTGAGACCGGTGGATTGGGTCGGGATTTAGCCCCATTTCTGGAACAGCCCCATTCGTTGACATCTGCAATTAGAGCCCCACAAGTTGCATCTACACGAGCTGTTGTAACAGCAGTCGTTGGGTCGATGGTCGCAGTTCCCACCTCTTCTCACACAGGCTCGTCTGAAAAGGTAAATTAAGGAAGAACGTCTGCAAGGAAATTAGAAATCGCTTACAACCACATCGAACAATTACTCTCTACTCTAACACGCAACACAACGACTCCTACAGCCAAATAACAAAATCGGTGATGTGGTTACAAAGATTTTTCTAATTTTTACACCATTTTTAAGCAAAACTACAAGAAAATCAAATAGAGGCAAAATTAGTTTACTGTCAATAGCAATTTCACGAGTGTCGATTTTCGATTCGATCAGCGAATTTCCGGTCGGAGTTAGAGATGGTTTAGAAATTAAAATTTTACATAGTTTAGAATTTTTTAAAAATCCGGACTTAAAAATGACAATCATTTACAGTTACCCTGTTTATTAAGAAACAAAATTAAAATATAGAAAGGATTGTTTAAAAAAACAATTAAACGTTTGTGTTGTTTGTTTATAAAAATTTTCGAAAAAATTTATCAAAAACTCGTAATTTAGAATTAAAAAAAAGTTTCAAATATTGACTGATATCTCTTTATTTATTCTAAATCGTTTTGAATATTAAAAGCTTAGGATTTGTTGAATTATCCCATAAATAATAAGGATTTTCTAGAATTTCTAAACGTTCTTACCAGGAAAAAATCGCCTCTCGTTAAGAAAAATGAAAAATTTATTAGAATTAATAATGAATATCTCTAATTAAATTTCGAGAGTGGCATCTGACTTTGAAAATAAGTTGACAACATTGTAGAATATAAAATTTGAGACGTTTCTAATAAGTGGTATAATGTATGTCCCTAATTAATTTTCAATCAAAGTGGCTTATAATTTTAAAACTAAGTTGGTAACACTGTGGAATATACAATTTGACATGTCTCTGGCAACAACGAATTATTAATGATTTTTCTAACTGCCTATAAAAATGTGACGTTTAAATTTCATAGTCAAAGTTGACAAATTAAAGTTTCAAATTTGTTGCCAACCTAACGTAAAAAATCACAATCATTTATAATCACCCTGTTTATTAACAATCAAAATTAAAATATAGAAATTATTGTTTAAAAAAATTGAAACGTTTGTTTTGTTAATAAACATTTTCAAGAAAATTAATAAAAAATTCTGTAGTTTAGAATGAAAAAAAAAAACAAAAAGTTTCACATTCTTTCACATTGTTGTTAATTAAAATTTTTTCTCGTTAAGAAAAATATTAAATTTATTAGAATTAATAATGAATATCTCTAATGAAATTTCGAGAGTGGCATCTGACTTTAAAAATAAGTTGGCAACATTGTAGAATATAAAATTTGAGATGTTTCTAATAACAATAAATTATTATTAATAATTTTTGTAATTGTCTATAAAAATGTGACGTCTAAATTTTATAGACAAAGTTGCCAAATTGACATTTAAAAATGCCAACAGACGCCAAAAATCACAATCATTTACTTTCACCCTGTTTATTAAGCAACAAAATTAAAATATAGAAATTATTTTTTTAAAACCTTTGTTTGTTTATAAACATTTTGAAGAAAATTAATAAAAAACTTTTCGTAGTTTAGAATCTTTAAAAAAGAAACAAAAACATTGTTTTATTTATAAATTAAAACTCTCTCTTAATTCTAAATCGACTTGAACATTAAAATTGTTTATCTCAAACTGCTTTATTATAAGACTTATGGTTAATTGAATTTTCCTAGGAATTATAAGGATTTTTTAGAATTTATTGGGATTTCTAAAAATATATAACCTAGAAAAAATCTTTTCTTCTTAAGAAAACATAAAATCTAATATTAAAAATGGTATAATGTATGCCTCTAATTGCATTTCCAATCAGAGTGGCTTGTAATTTTAAAACTAAGTTGGCAACACTGTAGAATATAATTAATGATGATTTTTGTACCGTCTATGATAAAGTGAAATTTAAATTTTATAGTCAAAGTTAACAAAGTAACATTTTTAAAGTTGCTGACCGGACGCATAAATCACAATCATTTATAGTCACCCTGTTTATTAAAAAAGCAAAATTAAAATATAGAAATTATTGTTTAAGAAAAAAGTTAAACGTTTGTGGTTTGTTTATAAATAATTTCAAGAAAATTAATAACTCTTCATGGTTTAGAATTTTAAAAAAGGAAACAAAAATTTTAAATATATTTAATTTATTCAAAATCGTCTTAAATATTGAAACAGGTAATCTTGTACTGTTTTTTAAGACTTAGAGTTTGTTGAATTTTCCTAAGAATTACATTACAAGATTTTCTAGGATTTATTGGGGTTTCTTTCTAGAAAAAGTTGTAATTTAATATTCAATTAATTTTTATAAATTACTGCTTTTTTCTAATTTTTTAACTAATTTTATCAAACTTTTTTTTACTTTTTATGACTTTTTTAGTTTCAATCCTTCGTTTTTAGTACTCATTTTAATTATTTACTTGAACCGTGAAGTTGAATTAATCTATCAGGTGACTATAAATGATTGTGACAAAGAAATCAATACTGAATAATTGATAATTCTTTTAATCGTCTGTAAAAATTTAACGTCTAAATTTGGTAGTCAAAGATGCCAAATAATTAAATTTTAAAGTTGCCAACCAGACGCCAAAAATCACAATCATTTACATTCAACCTGTTTATCAAAAACTAAATTAACATTAAATGTGTGTGTTGTTTGTTTATAAACATTTTCAAGAAAAATAATCAAAAATTGTGTGTACTTTAAAATTTTTAAGAAAAAACAAAAACTTTCAATCATTGATTTATTTACAACTCTTTATTTATTCTACTAAATCGTCTTACATATTAAAACTGTATATCTCGTATTGTTTTTTTAAGGGATTTGTTGTAATTTTCTAGGAATTATAACGATTTATTGAGATTTCTAAATTAATCTCTTCTCGTTAAAAAAAATATATGTCTAATAAAATTTTCAATCAGAGTAGCTTATGACTTTGAAACAAAGTTGGCAACACTGAAGAATATAAAATTTTAAATGTCTCATTTACATTCACCCTGTTTATACTTAAAATTATAAGAATTTATTGGGATTTCTAGAGGTTTATAACCAAGAAAAAAAATTTCTCGTTAAGAAAAATTTAAAATTTAATATTAAAAGTGGTATATAATGAATGTTTCTAACTAAATTTCCAATCAGAGTAATTTGTGATTTTGGAACTAAGTTGGCATGTCTCTAAAAACAATGAATTATATAAATTATATAAAGTTGACAAATTATTTTTTTTACGTTCCCAATTGCTTTGATTATTTCACAATTATTTCACAAATCACTTGTTTTTTTTTTGATTTTTTAACATAATTATATTTTAATGTTTTTTTAATAGTAACGACCGGAATAAGTAAAATTGTATTTGAGAAAATTTTGAAAAGAAAAAAAAAGGCATATCAAATAAAAAACGTAATTTTGTAATTTACTTCAAATTCGCTTTCGTTTCTTTTTTTTCATTATAATATTGATAGAAAGTCTTAAAACATTGGAAATTGCGCCACAACTCGAGTCCGGAGTAGATTCTTTCTCATCTTGTTTAAAAGTGTCTCATCTCGTTTCGTTAAAGCCCCAAAGTAGCTATCTACATTAAGCCCCATTTTCCTCATTGTGCATTTTAGAATATTTAATTAAAAACTCTCTAGCCTGACAACATTAATTAAGTCGAGTACGAAGCTGCATTGTGAGTTAAAATAGCAATTAAATCTCTAATAATACATAATAAAATTCACGAAGTTTAATTAGCGATTGTGGAGAGGAGAAATCAATTTAAAAAGCTGTCTAAAACAACAGGCATTTTAAAGGTAATTATACTCACTTCTGAGCAGATTGTAACAAGCGATCGATGGCATTTTCCGTGTAGTCGTCGTCTGATGGCAGACCTTCGTCTGAAACAAACTGAAACTTGTAATTCCTGAAAATTTTAACACAAACATCAGACGCGCCCAATTATGCAAATCAAAGGGCGAGTGGGACGAAACGAAAAAATTGTCACAACGTTTGCACAATTTTCCTGAAAAAAAAACAACTTTTCAGCCGCTTTACACGTTTTCAAATCAAGATTTATAGCTGTAATTAAGTTTGAAACTTTACAAAGTCCTTGTAACTTGCTAGCACAATAAATAAAACTTTAGAGTGAAGTTTATGAATTTTTTTTAACAATTAGAGAAAAGAGAGTAATTAACTTTGCTGAAAGCAAGATATAATCTCGGTTTGTGTCCGACTTACACAGCTTAATTATTTCCATAACGGTATTTTCAGGCATTTTCAGGCTCAGTTTGACCAGGCAAAAAATTATGTAAGCTCACAAGCAAAGCTTGTCATAAGGAAAGTTTCCATCTAATCAATAAATTCAATAAGGTTTCAGCCATTTAATTAAAAACTTCAGACTTAATGAATTCTCATGAAAAAATATGTTTGTAGCACAATCGCTGAAATAATCCTCTTGTTGTTTTATTTGTTCGCTTCGATTCGAATTTATTATCTCATCGAAGAAAATATTTACTCAGCAGGAAACCAACTGTAATTTTTTTTCTTTTGATCACGTTTTAATAATTGCATTAGTGATGATTATGTTATCGCGGAGGGAAACCAACTAGAAAATATTGTGGAGAAAAGTAAAGTTAAAAAAAACGAGTCAATAAATTTCGAGATTATTTATCTAACCTTGCACAAAATGTCCACAATTTCTTGTGTTTTCATTTATTTACACGCCTGACAGGGAACGCAACAATATTTGTATTGTTTTATTGACATGAGATAACAAGTTGAATTATCCTTGAACTGGCGTCTTAATTAAATTCATGAAAATCGCTTCTCTCAGTTGCAAATTAATTAAGGCTTGTACCACAATTTCAGTTTCAGAAATGTGCTTGTCATTCGATGCAAATGTGAACATTTGGCTGATTGCATTGTGTTTCAGGAAGCTTGTCATAACTGAAATCTATTTACACAAGAAAATAATAATTAATGAAAATCAAAGTGCCATAGAAATGTGATCGAGTTTAGAGTGATAAAAATGTATAAAAGTGACCACTTTTATGACTAAATGTCAAGTAAAAGTTTCACCTTTCAGGCATGGAGTAAAAATTCTATTTTTGCTCCTATGTTTTTACTTTTTCCATAATATTGACATTTACGTTGTCCTGCTTTTTTACTGCTTCAGTAATTTTTTATTTTGCACTACTAACTGCACTAGTCATATTAATAAACACTTTCCACAAATTCTGACGCGTTGTTATGATTTCATTACTTGCAAAGCGTCCTGGTTATTTTGTTCATTTACTTGCTTTTTACTTTCGATCTGAATACGTTAGCGAATAAAATAGTATGTTATTTGTTATACAAATTTAAGATTATTTGAAAATATAATATTAATATTAATAATTTTTTTATCAAACAAGGTAATATACAAAAGTGCTAGAATCTAAGTCAGAGACCGATTGTTTAAAATTGAAGCGAATGCGAATTTCAATTGATCAAATTAACAATTTTTTTACTGTAAAATACAATTTATTGTTCTTCAATTTTTGCAACTTTTTTCTTGTTTTTCTTTTCTTCGTTTTCTGTGTTTAATAAATTTATTTCCTTATGTTTTTGGATTTTTACTGTATTTTTTCTGGTTTTCTAGTCAGTGTTTTAACCTTTTTTTGACTATTTTATCGACTTTCATTATTTTGTTTTTGTTGTTTACCTGTGTTCTATAACTTTAGGTAGATATTTTTTCTGTTTTTTTCTTTGTTATGGTTTTATTCGTTTTCATTATTTGTGTTTCTTATGTCTTTTTCTTTGAATTTTATATACTTTTTTATTGTTTTTTATGTTTCTTTCAACTATTTTTTATAAATATTTTCTCTGTACCTTTTCAACCTCATTGTTTTTTAAACCTTTTGTATCGTTAGAATTTCATTAACTTGTTCCATTTTTAAAAAACTGGAAAAAATTAATAAAAAACGTGTTGTAACACAAAACAATTATTTTATTTTTACTTTTATTATAATTTGTTAAATTTGATTCTTCGTTTCTTAAACAATAAATATTTTCTGAACTACTAGCTTTAGGTACATTTTCCACAAATAAAATTTGGATAAAATGAAAAAAAAAGTAAAAAACCGATACTGTATTTACAAAACAACAAAGTTAAGACTATTTGAAAATATTAGAATTTGATATATTTTTTAATTAACACATAATTTTTTTTTTCAAATCATAGATCAAGGCACTGTATTTTCTTATTTTTATAGTACAAAAATGCTAAGATTGATTTTCCAAAATTAAAATAAATGTCAGAATTCATTTCTACATACAGGGTGTTAAAAGAAGATTGTAAAAGACCGATTATTTAAAATTGAAGCGAATGCGAATTTCAATTGATGAAATTAACAATTTTTTTTACTGTAAAATATAATTTATATTGTTCTTCAGTTTTTGCAACTTTTTTCTTGTTTTTCTTTTCTTCGTTTTCTGTGTTTAATAAATTTACTTCTTTATGTTTTTAAATTTTTACTTTATTTTTTTCTGGTTTTCTAGTCAGTGTTTCAAACTTTTTTTGACTATTTTATCGACTTTTGTTATTTTGTCTTTTTTTTTTCGAATATTTTTGTTTACCTGTGCTCTACAACTCTAGGCAAATATTTTTTTCTGTTTTTTTCTTGTTATGGTTTATTTTTATTCGTTTTCAATATTTTGGTTTCTTATGTCTTGTCTTTATTTACGTTTTTTTGAATTTTTTATATTTTTTATTGTTTTTTTTATGTTTCTTTCAACTATCTGTTATAAATATTGTACCTTTTCAACTTCATTGTTTTTTAAACCTTTTTTGTAGTTAGAATTTCATTAACTTCTGTATTGAATTTATTGTTCCATTTTTAAAAAACTGGAAAAAATTAATAAAAAACATGTAACAGAAAACAATGATTTTATTTTTACTTTTAATATAATTTGTTAAATTTGATGTATATTCTTAAACAATAAATATTTTCTAAACTACTAGCTTTAGGTAGATTTTCCACAAAAAGAATTGGGATAAAATGAAAAAAAAAAGGGAAAAAATTGATACTGTTGTATTTAAACAACAAAGTTAAGACTATTTGAATTTGATCATTTTTTTTATTAAAACATATTTTTTTTATCAAATCATATATCAAGGTACTGCATTTTCATATTTTCGTAGTACAAAAATGTTAAAAATGTTAAAAGAATGATTTTCCAAAATTAAAATAATGGTCAGAATTCATTTCTACATACAGAGTTTTAAAAAAAGATTGTAAAATATTTAAGGAGGTAATAGTATAGACCAAAATAAACAAAAAAGTCCGCAAAGTAACGGCTTTGGTACAATTTAAACTAGAAGCTTCTCTTTCTTGTTTAAACAGATTGTAAATAAATGTTTCAAAAAACGAATAATTTTCGATATCTCCGAAACCGTTACTTTGCTGACCCATGTTTATTAAGAATTTTTTGTTTGTTTTTGTCCATACTATTACCTCCTGTCATATTTTACAATCTTTTTTTAACTCCCTGTATAATATATCATGATTGCCACTTGCAAAACTCAATAAAAATCAAAAATTTGAGTCAAGTTTTTGAAAAAATAAATCCTTTAAGCACTTAGTAATAATATGGGGTTTGTTAATAATGCCACAGTAAAAAAATTACGATTTTTCCCATCATTAGAGAGTTAAAAGGGTAATAAAAATGATTGTCAAGCGAGGATATTTACGAGTTTTTGTGAAAAAAGTGGGACTTCCACTTCGGAAATTTAACGCTCGATAATAAAAGGTTTAATTGATTTGTTATAAAAGAGTAGCAGTGGTATTAATTTCAGAGCTTTAAATAGAATTACTGAAAGAATTTGACGAGTGAATTTTTCACGTTTTGCATTTAAAACCACAAATTTAAATTAATTTGCCGCCGTTTTCAAGTGTAGTTAGTTGTGTCCGATGAAAGTTTCAGCACTGCCTGAAGTGGAGTAATCTGCAATTTAGATTTGAAAATTTTCCTCTAGTGTATGAAAGAAATGGTAATTTTAATGCTTGTGGGCTAAATCAAACGGGATATATTCTCGGTGGATTCATAAATCGCTTCAAATTTTACGCAAAAATGAAATGAATTAAAATATCGCCGTCGGAAACACTAAATTGAACGGTTTTGCGCAAAAAAGTTGAGCTTTTTACTCTTTTGGGAGCTGGCTCAAAAGATAAAACTACTAAAGTTTTATTTGCAATTTAACATAAAGTAAATGAATGTTTTAAAATGTTGATAAATCTCCCTTTATGTCGTTGTTAGGGTATGAAAACTGGGTTAACTATTCTCTTGAGAAATCTGACAGTTTCAAAACTTAAAGAAAATATTTGTTGATTCCACCAACGGGTTTCTATTTTCATCTTAAACGGAAATCTTATAACGGAAATTACTAAAATACAAATATGTAGTGCTCAAATGTGGGATTAAATGTCTTAACTTTCACAACTTTAGATCGCAGTCTGAAAACTTTTCAGAGAATTAAAGTTGTGGAAATATTTCTCGTGTCTAACTTGCAGCATGTCATTTTTCGTTATTATTTCTTAAGGTTTTGGTTGAAAATGATAGCTTATCCATGCCAACAGTCATGTCAGTAGATCAACATTTAATTACTTTTGTTGTAAAAAAAATACAAAAAATTAACTCACATTTGTCTAATTCTGTTAACAAATCTCTGTTTTGTGTTTTATGAAAACATTTTAAATGCCTGAAAATTATAAACTCACAGGCACCTTGAATTTATCAGATTGTTTTTAATTTTTTTATCAACTCGCAATCTTTATTTGTGGAAGAAAACGTTATTTGTGCGTTTTAAAACTCAAATGAATTTTTTTTGTCTCTATTAAAAATTACATTCTCAAGATCC